GGAGGGGGTAGGGGGAGGGGAGGGACCAGGGGGCGCGAAGAGGGGAGAAGAGGCGGGTCTGGAGCCCCCCGCTGCTGACGGCCACAGGGCGGCTGCACCAGGAGGTGCGTGTCCGGCCCAAGACGGGAGCCCCAGGCCAGGGAGGGGCAGAGGCTGGGCCTGAGGCCTGGGCCGGCCACTGGGCTAGTACTCGGTTCCTGCCGGAAAGATGAAGACTTGTCTTTTAAGGATGACAACGTGCAGGAAAGGCCCGTCAACTGATCTCCCCTACTGTGGGCCCACAGCACGTCTCAAACCCCACACCACCCGCACTCACTGCCGGGCCTGTGGCCCCATCTCTTCCCAGAGGTCTTCCCTCACTCTACTGTTCCCCAGGAGAGGGACTTAGCCAGAAAGAGGGTCCCCTTTCTGTCTGTGACAGTGTTTCCCTCCCTACCGTAACCTGTCCCGCAGGCCCATCCAACCATCACTGTCCCCAGCCTGACATCCTCTCTCACCCTCTTCCCTTCACCCAGGGGACCCTCTGCCTCTCCACCCCACCCCCAACCTCCTTTGTCTTGGTTTTCTGATCATGACTGCCTCCCTGTCCCCTCCCACACCCATTCACCCACCAGCCTCCCAACCATCCCAGCACCCTCCTTCCTAATCTTGGGAGGCATCTCATCTGGCTGAACTGGAGAATTCCGGGATCTAGGCCATACTCCTTAGCTGACAGCCCCATCCTTGGGAGGAGGAGCAGGAGGGGAAGAACTGGGGTGGGGGGTGATGGGAACAAGGTCAGGCCAGGAGGCCCCTGAGGACAGAGACTGCGAGGAGACTGGGATTGAGGGCAAAGCAAAGGAACTAGAACCAGGGCCAAAGGAAGAGGGGGGCCAGCAGGAGGTATTTGCGGGGGAGGTTCAGCAGCTGTCTTTCCTAAGACAGGGACACATGGGCCTGGTTATTCCTCTTGTCACATATGGAGTGGTAGGAGATGGAACGGGGAGAAAGACAGGGCAAGCTCAGGAGAGCTTGGGCACAGAGGTAAGTGGCCTTAGCTGTCTGAGTCACCGGGCCCCCCGCCAGAGGGGCACCTGAGCCCAGTCTAACCACCCTACACACACCCCTCACCTTGCAGTCCTCTCAAATGGTCCAAACCCTTTTCCTATAACACTGACCAATGACGGGCTCATTCCCTAATACAGGCAATACCCACATTCCCACTGGGCAAGGGGGAATAAGACACGACCCGCACAGGATTATAGGAGAGAAAGGCAGGACAGCAAGAGCCCTAGTGGGTCTCAGCAGCAGGTGTGTTGTCCAGGGAAAAGAAATTTGGCCAGTCAGGAACTGAACAACCCACCAATCCAAAACCAGAACCAGATCTCTGTGCCTCTTCCGCAGGAACAAAAAGATCCTGCCAGATTTCTCCTGGGGAAAAAAGCCCATCTCCTCCCCCCAGCCAGGTCCCAGGTTTCCCATCTCCTAGAAAAAGATGGATCCCCCTGTTGAAATCCTCCCTGTGGTGTGTGTGGGTGGAGGAGCTGGGCTCTGCTAGTGGACCATGGTCCAGGCAGGGGCTCCACGTTCAGTGCAGGTGGGAGGAGAAGGCGTCACTTCCGGGGGCCTTCACCAGTATCTGGTGGCTCCCTGCTCTCTGATTGGGCAGAAGTGTCCTGGGCAGGCCTGTGACCCTACTGCTGTGGAGGGGCTGTGCCCCAGCACTACGTGTCTCCCTACCCATCGGCTCCCCAGAGTGCTGCCTGCTGTGCACCTGGGTCCTGGAGCCCTTCTCTACCCGGTGAGTGGCAAGCAGGGTTTGGAGTTAAGTGAGGCTAGGAAGGATAGGAAAGAGGAATTGGGCTCACAGCTGGGGGAGGGGCAGGCAAACTGGAACCTACAGGCACTGACCTTTGTCGAGAAGCGTGTAGCCTTCCCAGAATGGGAGGAGCAGGACAGAGCAGGGGTAGGGGGTGGGGTGCTGGGTTCTGAGGGACTGATCACAGACTTGGAGGAATATAGCCCTGTCCCAGCTGGCCCTAAGGAAAGCAGACGTGTGCCCCGGGAGAAAATAAGAAATGCACCCGTGGTGCATTTAGGGCTTAGGGCATATAGCATCAAGCCGGACACAGGCCCAATCCCCATTCTTACCCAGTAGTTCTTAGTTCGCTTATGGTTCTGAATCCTGGGACTGGGGAAGCTGGGCCCAAGGAGAGGGTTGTGGGAGGAGGGCGCATGCATGTTGACAGACCTACAGGAAATCCCAATATTGAATCAGGTGCAGGCCTCTTTGCACAACTTGTCAAAGAAGGAGGAGGCCATGTGGGGGGTCCTGTGAAGGAACTGGAAGGGGTCTGCCGAGGGGGCAGGGAGGAAGATGTGGGCTAGGAGATGGATACGGTGGGCGTCCAACGCGAGGTAACCACGTGAGGTGGGTGCCTCACTCAGCACGTACCGATTGCTGGGCAAATTGCCTCCGGTGGGACGTCCCAGGACTGTTAGCCCCCCTCTCCGCCTCAGATAGCCCAGTATGTTAGAACTGGGAGTGCAAAGAAAAACTCCAAGAGGCTTATGGGTGGGGGTAAATGGAGAGAGAACGAGCGGTTAATTGCTCCCATACCACCTTCTCATAATCTTGTAATCACCAACCCCTAGTAGTACAGTTTTGTTTTCCCCAAGTCCCCTCCTCCGCCCCACTCCCCCAGCTACCCCTCAACACATTGCACATGTTTGCTAGCTCCTCACCCTCACCTTATATCCCGCTTTCCAACCTCTTCTCCCAGGCTTATGCCACAATACTCCTATTCCCTCTCCCCATGCCAGATTTTCTCTAACCAAACCGAGGTTGCTCAGAATTTGAGGCCAGTTAAGGTTGTGTGTGTGTGTGTGTACGCGCACGCTTGCGTATTCCATCCTGCTGCTCTCGGCAGGGGCAGGGGCACCAGCCCCACATCAGACTCACTGAGGAACCCTGACAAAGAGGAGACACCACATGCCGCAGTCACAAGGAGACCTGGGAGCAGTCAGAGCGCTAGCAGTTCCGGGCTGGTCAGCATCTCATGCCCTCCCAGCAGCTATTCCTGTCACTTGCAGGATAGATTCCAGACCCTCTTCCTCAGCCCACCTGTGCCCCACCGTGCAAGAAGTGCCGGAGCCCAAGCCGCCTCCATGGCCCCAGGAAGGAGTCAGGGGAGAGGCCCCATCCAGGGAGCCGCTCCTACCAGACAGCCTGGCCAGAATGGAGCCGACTGGTAAGAACACACCTGCGGGACCTAGGGCCAAATCACAGCGGGGTTAAAGAGGAAAGAGAAGGGAGATGTGCTGCCTCCAGGGTAGAGGGCGGAGGGAACCCAATCTCCCAGGACTGAGGCCTCTGAAAGGTAAATTCCCTGGATTTCAGGTCTGGGTCCTAACTGGGAATTCCTGGACTACCACCTGACAATGATTTCTTCCTTATCCACCCTGTCAACCTCACTTCTCCTCGTCTAAGAACTGCTCCTCGTGGTCATGCTTCTCCTAACTGCAAGACTGGATCTGTGCCTCCCGGCTCCTCCCGCCTGTGACCCCCGTCTCCTAAATAAACTGCTTCGAGACTCCCATGTCCTTCACAGCAGACTGGTGAGGATCTCCCAGCACTCTCCCCTCTATCCATTAACTCGTCAGATACCCCTCCTCCCATCATTCCCTCTCACCCCCGGACCCGATCACTGTTCTTCCTATATTGTCCTTGGGAAGACCGCCACCTCCCCATCACCACTCCTTGATGGGGATGATGATTTGCAATCTAGTCCACTTTTAAAAGCTCTAGTCTGGACATATATTACTCCTGGTCACTGGGTCACCACCCCCCCTCCTTTATTTGAGCTCCCTTCTCCACCCCACCCCACCACCAATCTTTTTCACTAGAACCAGTGTCCAGACGTTAACCCTTTGTCCACACCTGTCCTGCTGCCTGCTGTGGACTTCAGCTTGGGAGAATGGAAAACCCAGAAGGTAAGAAAGCCATCCCTTCCTTTGGTTTCCCTAATTCATGTCTTCATCGGTTTTCTACTGCTTTCCATGGATTCTTCAAAATTCCTGAGCTTCCTAAAAATATCTCACCTTGGGCTTGGCCACCCTAACCTAATCTACATTCCTCTATGATGATATCCTCTGGACAAGATGGCTTGCAGTCCCAGTATGTGAAAATAGATTCAAAGCTGAACACCCAGAAAAGCTGGATAAAAGTCTCTCACAGCCATGCCTTTGACCTATTCCCATGCAAACTTCGTAAGCTGGCATGAAGAAGTAAGACTGATCTGTCATCCCCAGATGACACAAAACTGGGAAGCAGAGGTAAAATAGCAAAAGATAGAATCAAGATTCACATTGCTGAAAGGATAGATCAAAAACAAGGTAAAATTTAACAGAGATATACAAAAAATTCTACATTTACTCAAAGTAATCGAGTAAAGTCCTATTCCAGCTTTCAGGCCATAATGCCCCCACTTCCCCTTATATAAGCTTCTGGCCCTAGAACTTACTATGAACAAGATCTGGGAGGATTGAGTTGACCTCAGACTTAGCAGGTAACACTATTAAAGCAGCTATTTTAAAAGCTAGTGATTCTAGGTGGCTTTAGATGTTTAGCATCCACCTTGTGGAAGTATTCCTAAAAACCTTTAAGTGGCCTGCACTTAACAGTACTGAGTTGAGTACTGGATACCCTCCTCTAGACACATGCTAATTTATTCAGAGGACCATATTAAACTAGCATGTGTCCAGAAGGAGGAAGCAACCTGAACAGTGAGAGGTTAGAAAACACATTCTGTGAGGAATGGCTTAAAAAAAAAGAAAAAAGAAAAAAGCCTGTCTGATGAGCTTGGAGAAAAGTTGTTAAGTCTTGTGGTATAGTTGGATGTGCTTTAGTCTGAGGCTCAGGAAACCTCCGGGGAGGGAGCACTCCTTGCAAGGTCAGCTCTTCTACCCTCAAGATCCCTAGAATCCCCTTTCTTCCCTCAGGTCTTGGGGTGGGGGGGAACTGGGCCAGGGACGAAGGGCAATTCCTGGGGATCCCTTGCAGTTCCAGCTCTGCCGTTGATCACTGTAAGCCCCTTTCCTTCATCTTTATGATCTTGGTGATGGTCTCATCTCTCCGTTAAGTTTTTAAAAAATCATGATTCTAGGATTTTGTAGCAGAAAAAGTAGATTGGCAGCACTAGAACCGAGAGGTTAAAAACTATAATAGCGCAGATTCCAACGTAGGGTAAGGGGGAGAAAGGACTTTTCTGACTGAAATTAAGTGTAAGACCAGGCTGGGTTACCGGACACTGGAGTTATTCAAGCAGAGGCTGATGACCAATTGCCGGGAGACTGTGAAGGAATTCCTGGGCTGGGTGGGACCTTGGTCCTGTCCAATTCTCAGCTCCTATGATTCATTCCGCTGGCTACTCCTAGGGGTCCCCACCCGCTATGAGCATGCCCTTTGAAGTGGGCCGCTTCTCCCTTCCATCTCTCTTGCAGGAGAAGACCAAGGCACAGGACGTTCTGGGAGCCGCGGCCCTTCTGCTGGAGGCAGTAATGGCAGCACGGAGACAACTGGGACCCACCTGCCTCTCATCCCTCCTGGGACAGCTTTCCGGACAGGTCCGTCTCCTCCTTGGGGCCCTGCAGGGCCTCCTTGGAACCCAGGTAAGTAAGTCCTGAGTCAATGGGACGACAGAGACTGTCCTCTGCTGACTCAGTCCCTTTAGAAGACCTGAGGGAAGAAAGGCGAATTCTGGGAATCCTGAGGGTAGCACAGCTGACCAACTAAAGGGTGCTCCCTCCCAGCCATAAAGCCTGGGTGCTGGCCCCTTATCTTTCCCTGGAGACGAGGGACGGCATGATATCCGGCCCAGGTCTCTGGCCTCAGGCCCATCCTCTGCCCTCAGCTTCCTCCACAGGGCAGGACCACAACTCACAAGGATCCCAGTGCCATATTCCTGACCTTCCAGCAGCTGCTCCGAGGAAAGGTGCGCTTCCTGCTGCTTGTAGTAGGGCCCACCCTGTGTGTCAAGCAGGCCCTACCCACGACAGCTGTCCCAAGCAATGCCTCTCTATTGCTCACACTGCACAAGCTCCCAAACAGGACTTCGGGATTGCTGGAGACAAACTCCAGTGTCTCAGCCAGAACTACTGGCTCTGGACTTCTGAAGAGGCTGCAGGGATTCAGAGCCAAGATTCCTGGTCTGCTGAACCAAACCTCCAGGTCCCTAGACCAAATGCCTGGACACCTGAACAGGACACACGGACCCTTGATTGGAACTCCCGGACTCTTTCCTGGACCCTCACCCATGGCCTCAGGAGCCCCAGACACCCCTCCGGGAACTTCAGACATGGACTCCCTGCCCCCCGACCTCTGGCCTGGATATTCTCCTTCCCCAACCCATCCTCCTACTGGGCAATACACACTCTTCTCTCCTTCACCCACCTCGCCCAACCCCCCGGGGCCAGCTCCAACCTCCATCTCCTGACCCCACTGTCACAGCCAACCCGACCAGTCCTCTTCTAATTGCAGCCTACCCTCACTTCCAGAATCTGTCTCAGGAGGAGTAAGGTACTCCAGCCCTGCCAGCATCAGCACTGTCTCCATGTAAAGTTCCCTTTCCAGGAGGGGAGGCCCTGGGAGTCAAGTCATACCAGATTTCCTGCTTTCACCTGAAACCCAAAGCCCTGCTAAAGGGGGATACACGGGACAGAAAAGGGGATCATTTTTCACTGTATATTGTAAAACTTCAGAAGCTATTTTTTTAAACTATCAATAATATTCACCAGAGCAGCTAGTTATCTTTGGTCTGTTTTCTGCACAAATTTACAACTTACTAATTCTCTACGTGCTGTTTTGCATACAATTCTGCAAAAGGCTGGACCAGCCTGACTTCTGAACGGGGTAGAGACTGACCTTATGTTAGAAAACAGGGGGAAGAAGCTTTGGTTTTCTACTCAGAACTAAGGTTAGTCTCTTTATCCCCTTCACTATCATTCTCAGTGGGACTCTGATCTCCTTTTCTAAGGAGATCCTTACTCTTGAAAAATGAATGAGAAGTAGTCTCTTAGAAGGGCTGTCTTTACACAATCAACAAAACTGAGCCTATATAAATAAAGAATAAATAAGAACACCCAAAAGCTAACTGAAAAGCAAGGGAAAAAGGTTCTTCAGGGGGCAATAGATCTCCCCCTTCCCTCCCCTCCAAAAAGTTAACAGGAAGCCTCGGAGAGCCTCACACCCCAGGTAAGGCCCTGCAGACAGTTCAGTCAAGACAAAACCTGGATGGGACAGCTGAGCAAACAGCGAGAGCTTCAGCAGCTCAGCAGGAAGCTTCACCAGGCACGGGTTCCTGCCTCCCTCCTGTGGAGGTCAGGGGGAAGTGCAGGAAGTGGCAAGAGTCAGTCTCCCAGGGCTCACACAGCGGGAGGGGCAAGTGCAAGTTGAAGGCTCATTTCCCAATTCCCAGAAGTCCACGGTATCTAAAAAGCAGCCCTATGTGACCACCATGAGCTCTGCTAAGAATTCTCTGGAGAAGAAGCCCGGCTTATGGGGCTTTGCAAATAAGTGCCACCGTGGTGCTTAGGAAAAGGTTTATGTTGCCCCAAACAAAAACTCCATTGCAAAGGTCAACCCTACAGCTAGAGGCTCCTGTAGGAAAACTAACAGAAGCTTTTTCCTCTTCCCTCCCCTCTCAACTCCCCCAAAGGAGAGGAAACACTACCATGTAGGTAAAAAAGCCAAGATCCCAGAGTTCCAAACACCGCCACAAATACCCCAGGACCAGTAAAGAAGAATGAAAGCCAGTGTGCCAAGAGCCTTATGTAGGTTACCTTTTATAGTGCTCACACACCTCTATCAGGCTGGGGATGCTATCAGTCTCAGAGAAGCCAGGCACGCTCTCAGTGCTCACACAGTCTGTGAGCAAGAAGAGAAGAAACAGCCTGAGCTGACTAGAGCCCATACGGTCCCTAGTGTGGTGCACTGTCCAATAGATCACTCAGTGATTGTGCTTATTAGAAAAAATGTCCAGGGGCGCCTGGGTGGCTCAGTCGGTTAAGTGGCTGCCTTCGGCTCAGGTCATGATCCTGGGGTCCTGGGATCGAGCCCCACGTCCAGCTCCCTGCTCAGCAGAGAGCCTGCTTCTCCCTCTCCCTCTGCTTGCCACTCTACCTACTTGTGCTCTCTATCTGTCGAATAAATAAATAAAAATCTTAAAAAAAAAAGAAAAAATGTCCAAGTCCTGAGGGAGGAAATACATCAACAATTAAAAGAGTTCTGAGTAGAAAACCAAAGCTCTTGGACGGGGTGACCAATTTAGACATCTCCAGGTGTCTTCCTTTCCCATCATGGATGGAACTGTTGCCATGGAGAAGGAATCGACAAATGCACAAAGCTCAAAAGTGTTGTTCAGATCTCAGAGGGTGTCAGTTTTTGCATGGGAGAAAACAGTTGTTCCACACTACCAATTCCAGCATGCTGTCAAGAGAACGGTAAGTGGAAATTGTAATCGACTGAAATACCAAACTAGGCTCAATGTAATAACCAAATGAAGAACTTTGTGGCCCATGAAAGAGTTAGCACCCGGGACAAGATATGCCAAAGGGACCAAAGGCAAAGGCTTCAGGGTTCTCAGCACAGTCAGATGAGACACAAGGACGGCAAAACAGCAAGAAGTATACAGCCAGTAAGTTCCAGGCATCCAGGATTGGCATTTGACCTATTTTAGGGCAAATGCAAGTAACTCATGGGCTTTTCCAGTGTGAACTAAGCTGTCCCTATTGAGAATCTAACCCTTCCCAAAACTTCGTCAGGCTGATTCTATCCCTTCTTCCCTTTCCACAAAATGCAAAAAACTGTTACAACCAGAACACCCTTCTATCCGACTGCATGCCAGTTCTCTTCTGCCACCCCAGGGCAGCCAGGATAGTGTGCTATGCTACCCCACAAACTGTTACTGGCAATTAGGTTCTCCGACTCTAACCTAAACCCATCCTTCTCAAACACCCCCAAAAATCTGACTCCATGTAAAAGTTCTAGGAGTCCACAAAAATTCATCCCAACCCCCACTGCATCTTCCATCCCCCCCCCATAGTAAACCAAAGAAACACCTTTTCCTCCCCGCCCCGCAGAGATCATTCATTTTCAGCCCATTTCCCTAAATACTATTTCTAACACCTCATGTAAAGACCTGAAAATGATGGGGAAGGAAACACCCCTGGGCATCCCAGCAGGGGGACAGGCTCCCCAGGCAAAGCCAGGAGATCAAAAGAGAAAACTCCTTAATACACACTCGCCATCCTTCTGGATTGCTACCCTGAACTTCCCAGGGGAAATCAGAGTCCAGGATACTTTCTCAGAGACCTCGAATGCCAGACTGAAGAGCCAGCTCATACGCTGGAGTCCTAGGGAGCATCACCACTTCCTCAATTCTGTTCTTGCCCAGTTTTAAGTTAGTGACTGTCCTCAGGCTGCTCCATTGTCCTGGATACTGCCACTGGACTGCCAACCTCATTGGTATTGCTGCCCCGTCCACCGCACTGGTCTGTGCAGCAGCTGCCTGTTCAGTGTCCCTGGTGAGAACCCCCACCCCTACCCACTCACCCTCCCCTCCAGGTCGCCAAGGGAATGTAGAGCAGACACCTAGCTCCTCCACCTGTTCCTACAATCACCAAATCTGCTCCTCCTACTCTCCTCGTAGTCAGGTCCCAAGCCGGCATCTAAAAAGCCTCCACCCAAAGCTTCCACAAAAATGAACATTTCCAGGCTGTGCAAGTGACTCATTCAAATCAACGTGATCTGACTTCCTAAGAGACTGAAAGTGTTGGAAGGACACAAGCAGGGCTCCTTGCCAATTCAAAATTCTATGCCAAATGGGTGGTATCTTCCGGGGCTGGGGTGCCCTCAAGAGCCAAAAGCACAATACTCTCTCTCCCAGAGAGAAAACCACATTGGAGAATAAATGTTGGGGATAGTCAACCAGGAGGCTGAGATAACCCTAAACCCAGATACCAAAAGGTCAGAATAGATCCTACATTGACATGTGATCATCTGGCTGTGGGCCAGAAATACAATATACCACAGGCAAATTGGAAAAAAATGATTTTAGAGTAATGGAAAAGATTTTTTTTTTTTTAAGGTGGGGAAAAGAGTCTGAAAAAGTAAAGTTTAATTAAAAAATCATATACACAAACAACTTCTGATTCCTTTTAAGCCCTCCCACTGGGTCTTTCACAGGCAAGTTTCCCATTGAGTCCAGACCACCTAAAGATGCACCCCCAGTGGCCAGCCAGCCAGCCCTTCCTGAACAGGTGGCCAATAGTAACTGCTCCTCAGGCTCGAATGGATGTCCAAGTCCTGAGTGACTAAGCAGCAAGGTTGGCTTCCTGGGTGCTTCAGAAGGCCAGTTTCTTCATCAGCAGATAAACTCTGGAATCCACTTCAAATCCATGCAGGTTGTTGGCATCACCCTGCAGCCTCATGAGCAGGCCACCATAGGACACGTAGGCAGAGCTGAAACAGAAGGCCCCAGTACCATGAGTTTAAGCTCTGGAGCGGCAGCGACCTAATGGCTCTCCATCCCAGCTTAAGAAAAAGAGGTACCCTTCTAGTGTTCTGTCATTAGGAACCAAAATTCAGACAAGGATGAATGCACAAATTTGTGCAAAGAAGTGTTCTTTTTATCAACAAGAGTGAAAAATGCTACACGCCCAGAATAATGGAAATGGTCAAATGAATTAAGATATATCCATTTACTGGAATGTTATGCAGTTATTAAAATGTTTAGGAGAGGGGCGCCCGGGTGGCTCAGTTGGTTAAGTGTCTGCCTTCGGCTCCAGTCACGATACCAGGGTCCTGGGATCGAGTCCCGCATCAGGCTCCCTGCTGAGCAGGGAGCCTGCTTCTCCCTCTCCCTCTGCTGCTCCCCGTGCTTGTGCTCTCTCTCTCTCAAATAAATAAGTAAAATCTTAAAAAAAAAAAAATTAAAAAAAAAATGTTTAGGAAAAGCTTTAAACTGACATGGGGAAACCTGTTTTACATAACTTGAAGAAAAAGAGCAGAAGAAAACATTGTAATAAATGTGATCTCAAAGAAAAAAGTACACAGGAAAAAACCTAGAATATTTAAAAATGTTTATGTAAAAGATTCCCTCTGGGTATGGAATTATAGGTGACTTTTTTTGCTTCTTCACATTACTTCTCTGCTTTTCAAATTTCTTACAAGGGGCACATATTGTTTTAATAAAATTTTAAAGAAGAGAAAAAATAGTTGGGCAGGGAAACCAAAGAACTAGGGATTGGATTCCAGAGTAGCAAAACACACACACAAATAAACAAAAACAAAAAAGCCTAGCAGTTTAATCAGTTAATGCTGCATCTAGTTCCTGGGGAAGAAACCTTCCTTTGCACTTCACATAGCAAGATCATCAGTTTCTCATTTGGACCCTTGGGCCCCGAGGTCCTGACAAAGGGCCAAGTGAGCAGCCCACATTTCAGACTGGAAACTGTTCCCACAACAGTTTCTTTCTGGGTCCCACCTAGGTCTGAGGTGCTTGGGGAGAGAGACCCAACCCAGGAAACATGAAGCACGGCCCAGATTTTCAGAGCAGAGCTCAGGTTATCAGCACGGGGCTGGGGGGCAAGGGTTCTCCCAAGACCCTGGAACTTACAGACGCGTTGCTGCTTCAGTAGAAGTTTCGTCGCCCTCAATTCTGTATACTTTCCCATACATTACGTACTCAAACTGGTCGGCCCTGTGGAACAGTGGTGGCAAGGTCATTCTTCAAAGTAGTTAACAGTAATAAGAAGCCCTTTAAAAACGATAACTGGTAACTAAGTGTCAACATTCTAACAGACGTTTTCCAAACACAATGCCATTTAGTCCTCCCAGGGACTCTTTGAGCAAGGTGTGACCATCTGTACTTTCCTGACGGGGAAATCGAGGCTGCAAGAGGTTAAGGCTATTCAATAAGTAAGTGGCAGGGCTGAGACTGGAACTCTAGTGGAGTTCCAAAGCCTTTCCATCGCACCAAACTCCCTCCGAAGATGCAAGGCTCACACAGCCTGGGTCACTCAGTGGTCATCTCCTCAGCGATTAATAAGCTACAACCCACAAGCATGTCATCACTGCCCTGGATAAACACCTGGCTGTTTGAATTCTTAAGTGCAGCAATTTCCTTAAGGTTGCTCAGATTCTACTGATAATCATTTATTCCACAAATTAAATAAGGATCCTTCTATACCACTCATCTACTTAGTCCTCAGGCATATTTCAAGTACTCCCGTCTTCACTCCCTCACCTGGAAGGTCTATCATCTGTGGGGTTGTATTCACCGTCATCCAGGGTACCATCTTCATATAAGGTACTGGCTATGACCAACCGGAACTTGTCACCTGAAAATCATGGCAATATCTGAGGCTGAAGAACAGCTGAAATGAAAAAAAGCCTCCTGCAATTGTCTGTGTTCAATACTTACCCAAGTCCACAGGGTAAATCTGAATGTTTACATCTAAGATCAGGTCCATCTTGAAAGATTCACTCTCACAATGTAGTCGAGACACTAGAGGGAAGTAGAGAAAGAGTGGCGTAGGTAATTGCCAGGCCCAGGGCAGACCCTGCAGACCCCACTCTGGAGGACTATATGTAATTGAACACTCATTCTAACCCAGTCTGCAACCACTAGCCTCTCATCTGCTCCCAGAGAAGTGCAGACTCAATCAGAACCAGAAATGCCAGGAGGACAGGGGAGAAAACTATGGCAAGTGGACAGAATCTCAGAAAAGAATCACAGGTCCTCTGGCAATAAATAATATCCAGGTTCTAGGCCTGCCTAGGTGATTAAGAAACAACCTGACTGAATGGCTAAAATTAACAAGTCAGGAAAGGACATATTGGCGAGGATGTGGAGAAAAGGGAACCCTCCTACACCGTTGGTGGGAATGCAAGCTGGTGCAGCCACTCTGGAAAAGTATGGAGGTTCCTCAAAAAGTTGAAAATAGGGGCACCTGGGTGGCTCAGTCATTGGGCGTCTGCCTTCGGCTCAGGTAATGATCCCAGGGTCCTGGGATCGAGCCCCGCGTCGGGCTCCCTGCTCAGCGGGAAGCCTGCTTCTCCCTTTCCCACTCCCCCTG